GGTGGGGGAGAAGGTCTGGAAGAAGTCAACTCCCTCTCGCTGTCTGAAGCCTTGAGCAACGTAACGAGCCATGAAGACAGGCGGAGAACCTGGCGGCCGCTTCACCCTGAAAATCCACATGCCGTCGACGATGTTCGCCCCGGGAGGGGGAACCTCATCGACGTAGGTGCCTGTGGACTTCCAGGATGACATCTTTGCGTCCATGGCTGTCTGCCACTGAGAAGAGTATTCACCCGCGATCACCTCAGCGTAAGAGCGCGGGGTCGGGATGTCTGGTGCATCCGGGTCTCCCTCAGGGGCAATCAGCATGGCCACGAGATGAGGCGCAGCGACCGCAAGACACTCAAGGTCCTCGTGCCTGTCCTTAAGGACGTCCGTGCTAAGAGCACACTCACCCCCGACGGACGGAGGACAGACAGACTCAGACTCAGCAACAAGACTAGCAGCGTAGTCTAGACGACAGGTAGCAGCAAAGTTGACAAGCTCAGCGACTAGGGCAGACGCAGCAGTGGACTCAAACGACGGGTCAGTGACAACAGTTGCTAACAGACGCGTGACAGTAGGGTGCTCAGTACGAAACTGGTCAGATTCAGGGTCCGCAACGTCAGGCAGAGAGGACGCAGGGGGAGATGGCAGAGGAACACGCGGCGGAGGAGAAGAAGGACGACGGACTACAAGGTGGGTGCCGGGGACAGCCGGCTGACGCGGACGAGGAACACGACGACCGGAACGACCAGAACGGACAGGCGAGACAGGACACGACGCAGGCTCACGACGCTCAGCAAGGCCCCCTGTCTGCTCAGTGTACGGAGATGGAGCAGGCAGCGGTGAGCCAGGCTGTAACGGAAGACTAGTAGACGAAGGGAGACTGAGAACCTGGCGAAGCGAAGAACAGGCGCGGCTGTGCAGTGCCACCAGCACCAGCAGCTCCAGCACCTCCAGCAGCTCCAGTACCCTCAGCAGCTCCAGCACCTCCAGCAGGTCCAGAACCCTCAGCTCCAGATCCTCCAGGACCAGCTCCACCAGCTGCAGCACCCCCAAAACCGGCACCTCCAGTCCCAGGGTCTCCAGCCTCAGTGCCTCCAGCAGCAGCACCCCGAGACCCAGGGTCTCCAGCAGTAGCACCCTCAGACACAGCACCTCCAGCCCCAGCAGCTCCAGTACCTCCAGTACGAGCACCTCCGGGACCAGCGACACCAGCACCACCAGTAGACAAAGGACCAGCACCACTCCCAGCTCCAGTGACGTCAGCAGAATTACCTCCAGTAGCAGAGCCCCGAGCTCCAGAAGCGCGACCCTGACGGCGACCGTACCAGTCGTGCAGCTGCTGTGAGGTGAGAGGCACACGCGGACGAAGGCGGCTACTCCAAGGAGACCACGTAACAACACTCTTAGAACCCTCAGGCGTCGCACCCCCAGACTCAGCACCCCCAGGCTCCTCACACGCAGGCTCAGCACCCCCAGACGCAGCACCCCCAAGCTCAAGACCTCCAGGCTCCTCACGCGCAGGCTCAGCACCTCTAGGCTCCGCACCCTCAGGCTCCTCACGCTCAGGCTTAGTGCCCCAAGAATCCGCAGCCCCAGTCTCAGCACCCCCACGCTCCGCACCCCCAAGCTCTGCACCCCCAAACTCCGTACCCCCAGGGACAACACCACCCCCAGCAGGACCTGAGTCACCAGTGACCTCAACAGGCGCAGGTACGGGAGGGTCTACCTGAGAGACACCTGAAGGAGCAGGACCTGGCGCGGGGAGGGGGTCTACCTGGGGAGGACCTGGGGCGAGAAAGAGCGGCGGGGGGGGGCGAGGGGCAGTGCGGTAGGGAAAGAGACGGTAAAAGGGAACTGACTCGTCAAAGGTGACAACCTGAGACGGAAAGACACGGCGCGAGGCGGGGTCGTAAAACTGCCAGCCACGTCAGGGACAAAGCCAAGGAAGACGCAGGGAATGGCGCGAGGGGAGAGCTTGTCCGCGGTGGTATCGCGGACAAAGACACGAGCACCCCAGACCCGGAAACGCGACGCATCGCCAACCTTCCCCGTCCATAGCAGTGTGGGCGAGGTCTCCGGCAAGGAGACATGGGGCCAGATGTTGAGCTGATGCGCGGCGTACCGGACCGCAAACGGCCACAGAAAATGGGGGGCAGCCGCATGGATCATGAAGGTACGAGCGACCTCCATGACTAAGCCAATGCAGTGCTCAGCAACCCCCTTCTGTTGCGGAGAGGCCGGAAGCGTGAACGTCTGGCGGATGCCGTGCTCCGCACAGAAGGCTGCCAAGAGGTCAGAGGAGAACTCACCACCTCTGTCAGAGTGCAGACGCAGGACAGGAAAGTCCGACTGGAACCGCTCGCGGAGCTGGAGACGAATAGCGCGGATCCAGGGGATCAAAACATCAGGGACCTCCCCCTTGCGCTGCAAGGGGAAGACCGTGGTGTAACGCGTGTAGTCGTCGACGACCAGCAGGAAGTACCGCTCGTGGCCCTGTCCACGGACGCGGGCTGGGCCCCACACGTCCAGGTGGAGAGTCTGCAGTGGAGCCTCTGTGGGAGGGAACGAGGAGGAGTGAGGAGCGGCGCGCTGCCGCCCCTCGACGCAAGGAATGCAGGGCGGCGCATGCGAGGGAGGGAGGGCAGGCAGAGACCTGGGAAGGCTAGAGACCAGGAAGCGAGAGTGCATGCTACGAAGGCGAGGCAGGGAGGGGTGACCAAGGCGGTGGTGCCTTAGGAGAGTGTCGTGCGACAGTCGGCGACACTCACACTGGGTAGCTACCTGAGTAGACGCGTACAGCTGGGGAGACAAAGGGGTGGAGTGCGACACAGTGGTGAGGGTGTACAGACTGGACCCAGGCGCACGTGTGAACGTAGCCAGGTGACGGCCAGCCGGGAGCACGTGCAGATCGCCACACGCTGTCCTCCAGGAGTAAAGGTGTCAACCCTGTGATCCTGAAGGACGGCGTTGCTCACCAAGTTTGTAGAGAACGAGGGGAGGTGGAGACCGGACAGCTCACCAGACGGGACCGCCGGACACGGAAGCACAGTGGAAAACCGTGCAAGTACTGGGCCCCCAGAGGGGTCAGTCAGTGAGACAGGAACAGGTGCAGGGATGGGAGTGACTGTGGTGCTGTCGCGAAAGAAACAGCGGGAAGCACCAGAGTCAAGTGTGAAGGTGTGCAAGGCCTGTGCGGACCGCAAGTAGCAGTCACCCTCAGCACTAACAGTCAATGCATACATGGCAGCAAGAATAGCCTCATAGTCAAGATCACCCAACTGCTGCTGCTGCTGCTGCTGCCCCTGGCCACAACTGGTGTCACCCAAGCCCCCACCACCACTGCCACCCCCACTCCCCCCTCCGCCACCACCGCCGCCGCCACCGCCACCGCTCCCGGCACCACCACCACCCCCACCACCACCTCCACCCCCACGACCACCCCCACCACCTCCACCTTCCCCGCCGCCTCCACCACCGCCCCCTCCACTGCCACGTCCGCCACCCCTGCCACCTTTGCCTCCCCTGGAGCGGCTGCGCTTCCCACTAGGAGCGGAAGCAGCTGCGACCTTCTCAGCACCAAGGAGGTCGACAGCAGCAGCTGCGGAGGCGTAGGAGGGGGTAAGAGGGGAGGGGGAGCACCCCTCAAAGAGGGGAGAGCGAGGAGTACCACGAGCAGCACCTACAGCGAGGATGTTCTTCTCTGCTGCCAGGAGGTGCTTCTCGAAGTCGTCGACAGTGAGAGTGGGAGGGTCTAGGGTGAGGAAGTGGTCCCTGACTAAGCTAAGAGTGTCAGGGAGGCGGGTGACGAGAAAGTAGAGAGTGAAATACATCGGGGAGAGGGGGGGGGGGTTCGCAGTGCGGAACTCGTCTGTAAGGGCGGCACGAAAGCGAGTGTCACTAGCGCGGAGGTGAGAAATGAGGTCCTCAGCAGTGGTAAACGAGGACAGGTGTGGGAACAGGTAGGGTAACATGAGCCGACCTATGGCTGCAGTGGCCGGGGAGGAGTAGCGCGCAACTACAGCGTCATACAGTGCCTTAGCAGTTTTGTGCTGGCTGAAATGCGCGTGCTCAGTGATCGGCAGATGATTGCGAATAGCTAGGTTGGCAGCAGCATCGCGAGTCTGCCACTGTGAGTGTTCACCAGGAGCAACGGCAGACGCGTAATCGAACAGTGAATCGCCGTCTTTGGCATCAGTCAGAAGAAACAGTTGGAGATCGTCCAGCCACGTGGTAAACGCTATCGGGCGACCGTCAGGCTCAAACGCGTGAACATTAAGCGTCGCCATAGTAGCAGTGTAGGTAAGGTAGCGGAGAAGGCGCGCAGGGCAAGCAAATGCGCACTGTAGAGAGGCACGCGCGGCAAGAAAGGCGCTCAAGGCAAGCAGGCGCACTTGGCAGGTAGACGCTCAAGGCAGGCGCTCAAGGCAGGCAGGCGCTCTTGGCAGGCAGGCGCTCAAGGCAGGCGCTCCAGGCAGGCAGGTGCTCTTAGCAGGCAGGCGCTCAAGGCAGGCGCTCCAGGCAGGCGCTTAAGGCAGGCAGGCACGCGGCTCACGGGCGACGCACGGGCAGGGCACGCGCGGCTACGGGTTGCGCAAGGTGACAGGCTGCGCGCGGCTGCGGGCTGCGCGCGGCCACGGACTGTGCGGGCTCGTCGCAGGCTGCTGAGGCGGCTGCAGCAGCAGCGCGCGCTAAAAAAAAAAAAAGATACGCGCGCATGCAGCCGAGGCGCGCGCGAGCAGCAGGTAAGGCAGGCAGGCAGACAAGGCCGTAGGTGAGGTAACACGGTAATAGGTGGGCCCCAATCTTAGGTCCTAAAGACCTACTGATCTAGATACCATCTTAGAATCTAGGCATGGATGATGTTGACTATCGAGGGATTGGTACAAGAAGGAAACCTAAGGGGTTGTACCCCACAGTATCTACCCCACTACAGCCTACCCAAAACTATAACATATGTATATGTTTGACAGTAGTGGGGCACTCCTTATGGGGTACAGTAGTGTTAGGGTTGACTACTTGTACTCCTCATGCTGCTCAATGCATTCATTCCTTGTTCTTATTCTCACATGGTATTAGAGCAGAATCGTTCCTAGGGCCCACCAAACGTTCCGCCCTGCCCTAACTGATTTTTGTTTTTAGCTGCCCCTGCAGCCAGCGCGCTGCCCTGCCAAGCCGTGTGTCGCCCGTGGGCGCTGCCTCTGCGACCCTAGTGTCGCCCCCCGCTGCCCCGTCGCGCCGCCCTGGAAAGCCGCGCGCGACCCCCCGCTGCCCGGTCGCGACGCCCTGGGGAGCCTCGCGCGACCCCCGCTGTCCCGTCACGGCGCCCTGGGGAGCCGCGCTCGGCCCCCGCTGCACGCCCTGGGGAGCCGCTCTCGGCCCCCACTGCCCCGTCGCGACGCCCTGGGGAGCCGCGCTCGGCCCCCGCTGCCCCGTCGCGACGCCCTGGGGAGCCGCGCGCGACCCCCCGCTGCCCCGTCGCGACGCCTTGGGGAGCCGCTTGCGGCCCCCGCTGCCCCGTCGCGGCGCCCTGGGGAGCCGCGCGCCGTCCCCCGCGCTGCTGCCCGCGCTCACGGCGCCGCCCTGCAGCAGCCGCCGCGGAGCCCCCCTGCCGCCGTCACAGCCCCGCCCTGCAGCAGCTACCGCGGAGCCCCCTGCCGCAGTCGCGGCCCCGCCGTGCAGCAGCTGCCGCGGAGCCCCCTGCCGCAGACGCGGCCCCGCCCTGCAGCAGCTGCCGCGGAGCCCCCTGTCGCCGTCACGGCCTCGCCCTGCCGCTGTCGCGGCCCCGCCCTGCAACTGTCGCGGCCCCGCCGTTGCCGCCGTCGTGCGCCTACCCTGCTCGCCCGTTGAGCGACTGCCCTTCCCGCCACTGGTGAGCACTTGCGCCTGCCTTACTAGCGCGCTGCCGCGCCGGCCTGTCTGCTTGCCTGCCGCGCCTACCTGCCAGCCGAGCTGCGCCGCCCAGCTGAGCCGAGCCGCTCAGCGGCGCCGAGCCGCCCAATCGAGCCGTGTCTTGCTGTCGGGCTGTGCAGCCCTGCTCTGCAGAGCCGCACTGCCCTGCCCGCGCTACTACTGCTGCCCGCGCTACTACTGCTGCTACTGCTGTTACTGCTGCTACTGCTACTACTGCTGCTACTGCTGCTACTGCTATTACTGCTGCTGCTACTGCTCCTGCTGCTCCTGGCGGTGGCCAGATGCAGCTCCAGCGACTTCTGCGTGAGTCCCTCACGCCCCAGCAGCTTCGTGAATGGTACGCTAGTTGGGGTCGTAGGGGTGGCCGCGCTGCTACTGCTGCTACTGCTACTGCTGCTGCTACTGCTGCTACTGCTGCTACTACCGCTCCTGCTGCTCTTGGCGGTGGCCAGATGCAGCTCCAGCGACGTCCGCGTGAGTCCCTCACGCCCCAGCAACTTCGTGAGTGGTACGCTAGTTGGGGTTGTAGGGGTGGCCGTGGTGGGAGTCACCCTGGAGCGGGTCGTTCGGGAGCTTCTTGTAGTGACCAGGTGCAGCTGCAGCAGCGTCCGCGCGCGGTCTTTTCGCCCCAGCAGCTTCGTGAGTGGTACGCTCAGAGTAGAGGGTCACGGAGTACTGCTCGCTGCCCGTACGTCATTCGCACTGGTGCTCGGGCTGGTCAGCCTTGCGGGACGGTTGGTCACACAGAGTCCCGCTGCTTCGCCAGTCTGAGCGACGCCTGGCGTACAGAGTTTGGAGACGACGCTGAGCTCCCACCCTGGCTGGAGCTACTTAGGCAGAGAGTAGATATCTTTGCTCTTGACTATGATGCTATCCTCACTGCCATATACGCCTTGCCTACTAGTGCTGAAGGTCCCTGTTACCTGTGTGTGCCGCCTGACCAAGGTATAGAGTCTGCTGCTCTAGGTGCTGGTGGGGCTGCTGCTCTAGGTGCTGGTGCGTCTCCTGCTCCAGGTGCCAGTGAGGCTGCTGCTCTAGGCGCTAGTGAGTCCACTGCTCCAGGTGCTGGTGAGTCTGCTCTCCCTGGTACTGCGCCTGCTGCGGCCTTGCACACTTTCACCCTTGACTCGGCTGCTTCACGCTCCTTCTTCCGCGACTGCACCACACTCTCGCCGCTCAGTCGGCCAATGGCAGTCTCTCTGGCTGACCCCTCTGGGGGTCCGGTCCTTGCACACTCCTCCACGGTCCTGCCGTGTCCGGCGGTCCCGTATGGCTCTCTGTCTAGCCTCCACCTCCCCTCGTTCTCCACGAACTTGGTGAGTGGAGCCGACCTTCAGGACGCGTGGGTTGACCAGTTCACTCCTGGAGGTCAGCGGGTGACCCACTGTTCGTGTACTCGGACAGGCCGGCACCTGGCCACGTTCACCCGTCAGCCTGGGTCGAGCCTGTACACCCTGACTACCGTGTCTCCTTCGGTTGCTGCATCTGGTCAAGTAGCTGCGTCCGGTCAGGTGCGTCCCGGTCTGGTCCTGAGTCTGCCCCCTGCTCGTGTCGCCTCCTGTCTCACCAGACTCTCCTCTGGCACCACCGTCTTGGGCACCCCTCCCTGCCTCGTCTCCGAGGCATGGCCTCCCGTGTCCTTATCACTGGTCTTCCCTGGTCTCTCCCTCCCCTTCCCACGGGGCCTGCCCCTACCTGCGTTCCTTGCGTCGAGGGGCGGCAGCACGCCGCTCCTCACTCCTCCGAGTTCCCTCCGACGGAGGCTCCCCTGCAGACTCTTCACATGGACGTGTGGGGCCCAGCCCGCGTCCGTGGCCAGGGTCACGAGTGCTACTTTCTGCTGGTCGTTGACGACTACTCGCGTTACACCACAGTCTCCCCCTTGCGCCGCAAGGGTGAGGTCACTGAGGTGCTGATCGACTGGATCCGCGCTGCCCGTCGTCAGCTCAGCGAGAGTTTCGGCTCGGACCTTCCTGTTCTGCGTCTGCACTCCGACAGCGGTGGAGAGTTTTCCTCCGACCTCTTGCGAGCCTTCTGTCGTGCGGAGGGCATCCGCCAGACGTTCACGCTTCCGGCCTCTCCGCAGCAAAATGGGATTGCTGAGCGCCGCATTGGCATGGTCATGGATGTCGCTCGTACGTCCATGATCCATGCGGCTGCTCCCCATTTTCTGTGGCCGTTCGCGGTTCAGTACGCGGCGCATCAGCTCAAACTCCAGCCCCGGGTCTCCATGCCGGAGACCACACCTACTCTGCGGTGGACAAGGAAGGTTGGCGATGCGTCTGCGTTCCGTGTCTGCGGATTTCGAGCTTTCATCCGCGACTTGTCTGCAAACAAGCTGTCCTCCCGTGCTGTTCCCTGCGTCTTCCTTGGCTTCCCCCCTGACGCGCCTGGTTGGCAGTTTTACCACCCCACCTCGCGCCGTGTTCTGTCCTCTCAGGACGTCACATTTGACGAGTCGGTTCTTTAGTACCGTCTCTTCCCCTACCGCACTGTCCCCCTCCCCCCCCCCCCGCCGCTCTTCCTTGCGCCAGGTCCCCCCCCAATAGACCCCCTCCCCACTCAGGGTCCTGCCCCCTCAGGTGTGTCCCAGGTAGACGCAGTCGTGCCTGTCGAGATAGCTGTTGACTCTGGTGCTGCTAGGGGTGCTGAGCCTGCGGGTGTCGGGTCGGGGTGCTGAGCCTGGGGGTGCGGAGCCTGCGGGTGCTGAGACTGGGGGTGCTGAGCCTGGGGTTGCTGAGTCTGGGGGTGCGGAGCCTGAGGGTGCTGAGCCTGCGCGTGTGGAGTCTGGAAGTGCTGAGCCTGGCGGTCATTTGGGTTCTTCGTCCCGTCGGGAGTCACTCTCTCCACAGCAGCTGCGTGAGTGGTTTGCTAAGCGCTGGAGCCGTGCTGCTGGAGCTGGTGGTGCTACGGGTGCTGGAGGTCCTGCTACTGCTGGAGGTCCTGCTGCTGCTGGAGCTGCTGGGGGTTCTGGAGCCACGGGTCCCGGAGGTGCTCGTACTGGAGGTACTGGAGCTGCTGGGCCTGGTGGTGCTGCTGGAGCTGGAGCTGCTGGCGGTGCTGGAGCTGGTGGTGCTGCTGGAGCAGGTGCTGCTGGAGGTACTGGAGCTGGAGCTGCTGGGTCTTCTGGTGGTCCTGCTGGAGCTGGAGCTGCTGGGGGTGCTGGAGCTGGAGGTGCTGCTGGAGCCGGTGCTCCTGTGGGTGCTGGAGTTGGCGCTACTGGTGCTGCTGGAGGTGCTGCTGGAGCTGGTGGTGCTGCTGGAGTTGGAGCTCCCGCTGGGGGTGCTGGTGCTGACCCTACTGGTTCTGGAGGCGCTGCGCGGCCGCGGCCGTACTACGTTCCGCTCCTTCAGCAGGTTCTTGGTCCTCCACCTTCTACTGGTCCTGCTCCTTCCTTAGAGTGTCCACCACCTGTCCAGTCGCAATCATAGCTGCAGCCCGCCTCCCTACTGCCTGCTCCTTCTCCTTACACTGGTCCGACTGGAGGTCTTGCTGAGCGTCGTGAGCCTGCGTCTCGTCCTGCGTCGCCTATTCGTGCTGCTAGCACTAGTCGTCGTGGTTCGCGTCAGCGTCCTCTTCCTGTCCCTGGCACGCACCGGATGGCTCTGCTCCCTTCCACTGCTCCGCAGCGTGTCCCTCTGCCGTCTCCTCCTGCGTCCTCTCTTCCTGCCCTTTCTGACCCGGAGTCTGACTCCCTTCGTGCTGCTAGTCCTACTGTCACGCGTCTCCTGGCCACTATTGTCATTGACCCTTCCTTTGAGTCCACTGCTGCGTCTGCCTTAGTTGCTGAGCTTGTCGACTTTGCTGCTCACTGTCGTCTAGACTACGCCGCTAGTTTTGTTGCTGAGTCTGAGTCTGTCTGTCCTCCGTCCGTCGGGGGTGAGTGTGCTCTTGGCACGGACGTCCTTGAGGACAGGCAGGAGGACTTTGAGTGCTTTGCAGCCGCTGTACCTCATCTCGTGTCCATGCTGATTGCACCTGAGGGAGACCCGGATGCACCAATCATCCCGACCCCGCGCTCTTACGCTGAGGCGATAGAGGGTCCCTACTCCTCTCAGTGGCAGTCAGCCATGGACGCAGAGATGGCATCCTGGAAGTCCAACAGGCACCTATGTCGAGGATGTTCCCCCTCCTGAGGCGAACATCGTCAGTGGCATGTGGATTTTCAGGGTGAAGCGGCAGCCGGGTTCTCCGCCTGTCTTCAAGGCGCGTTACGTTGCTCGACGCTTCAGTCAGCGACAGGGAGTTGACTTCTTCCAGACCTTCTCCCCGACCCCGAAGATGACCACTCTTCGGGTTCTGCTGCACGTCGTTGCTCAGCGTGACTACGACCTTCAATCTCTTGACTTCAGCACTGCTTTCCTACAGGGCAGCCTGCACGAGGAGATCTGGCTGCGCCGCCCACCTAGATTCACTGGGTCGTTTCCTCCTGGTATTGAGTGGAGCCTCCGGCGGCCAGTCTACGGTCTCCGCCAGGCGCCCCGCGAGTGGCACGACACACTCAGGACTACGCTTGCGGCTCTTGAGTTTGTTCCTTCTACTGCTGACCCGTCGCTGTTTCTCCACACCGACACTACTCTGCCGCGGTTCTATATCCTCGTGTACGTCGACGACTTGGTTTTTGCTACTGCTGACACTGCTGGACTGGCCCACGTGAAGTCGGAGCTGCAGAAGAGACACACGTGCACAGACCTGGGTGAGCTGCGCAGCTATCTTGGCTTGCAGATCACCCGGGACAGAGCAGGGCGCACCATTACCCTGACTCAGTCACA